ATTCTACCTCAATATACCTCTTTGTTCCGTCACTCTCATCTCTCTGGATTCAATATCAATGGTATTGTGTGTGCATATTAATATAATCCTGGATGACTCATCTAGGCAGTCACAGACAGGTTGTATGTGACAGGTAATTCTACCTCAATGTACAGAAGTCTTTCTTGCGTCATTCTCATCTCTCTGGATTTAACATCAATGGTATAAATATTGTGTGTGCAGATTGAAATAATCCTAGATGACTCATCTAGGCAGTCACAGACAGGTTGTATGTGACAGGTAATTCTACCTCAATGTACAGAAGTCTTTCTTGCGTCATTCTCATCTCTCTGGATTTAACATCAATGGTATAAATATTGTGTGTGCAGATTGATATAAAATAGATGACTCATCAAGGCAGTCACAGACAGGTTGTTATTTATCCACATCACCCATGGTATTAACTTAGTTAAGAATTAGCTTGCACATCCAATTTTATATGTACAACTTGTATTGTGTGTGTTGTAGGTCTCAATGCTTGAGACTTTATTTGATCTAATGTCTCTCCGAATATATATACAATATAAATTGTATAAATTTGTCTACAGACATATATGTATCCATAGATTACTTACTCATCAAAATACAGACAAGTTTGACATCACGTATGTAATTTATTTCTAATTACCTAATTGTACATTTTTCGTAAGAATCAACTTGCACATAAGCATTCTTATAATTGTAACTTTTTTAATCTCAACTCTCTGAATTGTGTAATTAATGTGTATACAGGTTTAAATATTCAACGGATGAATCATCTCTGCAGTTATAGGTAAGTTACAAACGATTTAATACCCTTGATTCCAAGTTTTATAACCATTATTATAAGTAGTGCCTTGATATATTTCTCCTTCCTCAGATCTCTGAAATCCACATACCAACCATAGAAATGTGTGTGTACAGATGGAATGGAACTCATCCTAGCAGTTAATGGTAAGTAAACATAAGTCATTCCTTTTATTGCTATAACCCAAGAGTCTATACATGGATAAGAATTAACTTGTATAACCAGTTTTTATTAAATATGTTTCTGATATAGAGAGAGAGAGAGATATAATTTGATAGATTACTTGTTATTACTTTACATTGATATGTCTGCATGCAGTCAGCATTGCTCTGAACACAATTAACAGAAAAATATGGCTAATCTCATCTTAAAACCAATTTCTAGATTATGTCCTATCAATTACGTGAATAGTTTTGAACAAAAGATTGGAAACCTTTTTTAAATTTCACAAAATACAAAATTCATCTAACATACCATTATTTAAATATACAACAGACAAGTTATTTATGTATTTTTAAATGTAAAAAAAGTTTCCTACCTTTTGTTTAAAACTATTTTCGAAATTAATACAAAAAATTATATATATTGAAATGGAAATAGGCATATCCAGACCTTATACATATATATATATAACGTAAAATGAGTATATTTGTTAATAGTCTGTGCCAGGAAAGTCCCAAGAGCTAAATTATTCCAAGGCAAAGATCGTCTTTCCGCAAAAGTCATCATCATTAAACTTTCAATGATATTTATAATTCAACTTATTTTCCCCCAATTCACTGGTCCCCTTATTTAATTAGATACGTGGATCAGTGATAATTGAGGGTAAAATGGGCTGAGCATTCTACAGAGCGGAAGACTGAAGATTTTCTTCGAGAGGAAGAACGAAAATGAATGTCGCTGAATAAGAATCAGATGCTCACTTCCTGAAGCTGATGTCAAGGATGCACAGAGAAGACGATGCAAGAAGACCAAAGAAAGAAGATTTGCATAGCCCCTCCTTATAAATGTTACATATATCATATTAGAGGAGATGTATTGTATTAGCATGCAAAAGTATATGTGTTTTAATTGCATCCATTTAGGAGATGCGGATTCTGTAAATACACATTATATGCTTGCCGCTTAGTAAATATCATGCATGTGCAACATTAATGTCTTTAACACAGTCAAATTGATAGCAATCTAAAACTGTAGAATGTGATACCTGCTACTTGGAGCGCATGGCTTTCCTGCATATTAACACATTGTATATAATAATAACAGCAAGGGATATTACAGATTATCTAGAATATGTTTTCAGCTAAAAGATTCTTCATTAAAATTGCATCATAAATAAAGATTGTTTACTCCATCTTGCCAGTAACAGAAGAACTTGGAAATAAAATTGCTTTTTATAAATTTCAATGTGATTGTTTCTCGTTTCTTTATAAGCCTCACTAGAGTGAAATAAAATTTATCCACTCTTTATTTTATAAAAAGGCAATTGTTTCATAAGTTCTTGCATCTGGATAGGTGGAGAGAGCGGTTTTTTTGTATGTAATTTGTGTGGAAATTCAAAAAGGATCTTTTTGCCGAGAACCTAAGTTAAATATATGCTTTATATAAAATGTATATACCAAGAAAATTCATCGTGGTATCTTCTTCAACTTATTTTACCCGTTATTCACTGGTCTCCCTATTGTAAATGTATATGGGGATCAGTGACTAAGCGGGAAAAATGAGTTGATCTTACTTCACTGACCAAGTAATGTTGGAAGAAAATATCAAGTGGGAGCCTTTGTTTCAAGATTTTTATCACTTTTCTTCTTGTGTTCGACTTATTTTCCCCGTTTTTCATTGGTCTCCTTATTGTAGTATATATGGGGATCAATGACTAAGCGGTGACAATGGGTTGAAATTGCCTCAATGAAGAAATATTGTTGAAGAAGAAATATCAAGATGAAACCTCTTTCTCAAGATTTTTATCTCTCTACTTCAGGTGTTCAACGGTGAAGATTTTTTAAAAAGACACGCTATATAGATCTCTGAATAGGCCTTCAATGGAAGCAAGAAATCTACCCTGAAATAACCAAAATAAACCATTACCTCAATATTCGACTCATATTACCCTCAAGTCATTGATTCCAGTGAGTGTTCAATACGAGGATCAGTGACCATTGATGGTAAAATGGGTTGATCTTACTTCAATCAAGAGAAGAATGAAGATTCCTGCGAGATCAGGGAGGAAGACGGCAACCTCAACTCCCTGGATTTAAAGGTAAGAGAAAATTCTATTATCTCTCTTCTCAGGTTGAGATTTATTTACAGTGTAAATTATTCAAACGACATTATATAAAACATTTGTATTATCTTTTAATGCGTTTTAAATTTCTCAATGGGATTAAAAAGAATTTTGATTAATTATTTTGTGTTGTTGTTATGTTGTTAGTCCATATATTCTTTAAATAATTCAATAAAACACACACAAGCAAACAGAGAAAAAAAACATTATTGAACCTATTTTATTAGAGCAATGTTCAGCTACGAAAAGTGTTAAAAATGTAGACATTGAGGAAAGCCCCGGCTTACAAGAATGATATTATAATTTTGAAGGATTTGTACATATCTGTGTCAATTTTCTGGATTTACCTCAACGGCCCTATATATATTTGGGCATTTGATCGTTACAGTTCTATCTGGGTTGATCCTTTTTCTATTAGCCTTACTACACGTCGTACAGGCCATGATAATCATGGTGGGTAGCAATTAGCGATTGCCCTTACTGAAAGTGAACAACTTTTCATCTCCTTAAGTTTTGTCCATGAGTGTATTTCTAACTGCTACTAGATGTAATTGAGAATAACAGTGCTGCAATGCGGTTCTTCATTTCTGAATAAATTTTAATGGAACTTGTGACCTAATCCTTTGTTTTCCTAATCGGGGTGAGCGCGGGATGGAATTAGATTCTATGAAGTTGAATTAAACCGAAGATAGGAGCTCTCTCCTCCATCTAGCTAAGCTGAGGGATTTCTTGGGAATATGAAACTATATGTACATTAAAGGATAATAGAGCGATTAGTTTTAAAACTTTGCATATATTGCAAGGTTTATTAATAAATAATGTATAATCGGAAATAACTTCTTTATTGACAAACTAGAAAACTGAAACTCTAACTCCCAGCACTCCTTTATACAGTTGATAACCGAATATAAAGTCATTCATGGGCGAAACTTGAGGAAGTGGAGAGACTTTGATGTTGTCTTTATTTTTATTTTTTTTGAAGGAGCAGAATCAATTTAGTTCACATTTAGTTATCTCGTTTGTCTTCAGTAAAGGTCACTGTGTAAAAAATATATTTCCGAGTTATTGTCTGAATCCCGTTATACATGCTAAAAGGTAAAACTTCTTTAATTTTTGTCAATGAGTAGAAATAGGAATTTTAAATTGATCGTTCTGAGAAAGCGTTCTATAGACTATTATCTACATTGTGTCTATTCATCCCCATGTTGTGATTTCTATAAGATTATTTTTCAGCAAGTACAAAACTACTTCTTATTTGAAATTTAAACTATTTTTGATGAGTATGATTATTTTTTAAATATAAAAATTTCATACTGTTCTTTCTGCAATGACATTTTTATTAAGAACCAGGCTCATCAGTGGTGAACCCTCCCAGCGGTTTCGCCAGTTTAATCTACCATACCGCTATAATATTGCATTGGGCTGTGCTTTCCTTCTATACCGATGCTGAAGTTGAACGGGAAGGGTTCAACACTGATAAGACAGGCCCTCCCATTAATTTATAATTGCAGTAAAGGCAGTAGAAAATTGTTTTAATTTAAAAAGAATCCTACGCGCGTCAAATGAGTTTCAATATCTTATAACAAATGGCGCGATATTAATACTTATTATTTGCCAATTCCATATAATAGAGCGGAGTTTCGAATATACTGCTGCTTTAATTTCTAACCAACCTACATCAACAAAGCATAGCAAAAGTTGAGCACAAAAACACATAATCTCGCAAAAACAAATAAATATTACACAGTAAAACAAGAATACAATGTATAGGTCTCCGTAAAGTTGCAGACCTGGACTCCAGGACATGTCTTCTAGAGGATCACCACCTGTTACCAAGAATCGGTACAATTCAATTTTTTTTCTAAAGTTTCACTTCAGTAATCCAGCTTCTGTTAGCCCAATTCACTGGTTTCCTTAGTGTATAAGGAAGGATACGGGAACCAGTGACTCATTGGGTTAAGATGGGTTGGTCCTACTTCACTGAAGAATGGCAAGCAGGCAGTGTGGAAACTCCAGATATTGGCATTTTCCAGGTTTGCCATGTATAGGGAGAGTAGTTGTGTATATATCGGTGTTGGCATGATTATTGCTATGTGTGTAAATATATTCATGTGTGGATATTCCAGTATTGGCATGCGTGTAAATACAGTTATATGTATGTGTGTATATATGTATTTGTAAAATATATGTATATTGTTCTTATCCGTTTCTCCTCACTTTGAGGTAGGACTTTGCAACCGCTCGTCAATACTCAGCCGGCATTTCTGATTCTCTGAATGTGTGGGGCATACACTAGTGATGATGTCCCGTTAGCATGATGTAAAACGCTGCATGTGTAAAAGATTCGTGTATGTCTATAGCCCTCCCGCTACGTTAAATTTAACCCGGACAAGTGCAGTTCTGGAACAACCAAGCTGGATAACCATTATGACGATCATTTACCTCAAAATGGCACAACTAGCATCCAAGTTTATTTAGCCCGATTTGCCCTGTTTCCTTTATTGTGTTTAGATACGGAAAACAATTGAGTTTAAATGACTCGATCCTACTTCATTGAAGATGAAAAATGGAAAAGGAAAGTCTTGATCTACAAAGAGATTTCAATATTTATGTTTTTTACTTTAAATATTCCCTGTTTACTAACATTTTTGAACGGCAACAGTTCTGGAAAAATCTATCAGCGTTATCATCATAAATATGATTTTCCTTCAAATTGGAATAACTAACATGCGACTTCTTTTAGCCCAATTCACTGGTTTCCTTATTGAATATAATTACGGGAACCAGTGACTCATTGGGTTAAGATGGGTTGACTCTACCTCACTCAAGTCAAGGAGATCAAACTTCCAATCTGCTAGCTCCTCCTGACACGGTGTGATTGGACTCCTCATCGCAAAATATCCAATCAACTTCTGGATAAATATCGCAGGGAGGAAATTGGCGTTAAAAGAAGACATCTCTCCCGTCAAACAGATGTCATTGCGAAATGTTTTATTGTTTTTTTTTCACACACACACATACATACACACACCCATATATATATATACCAGATTTCGAACAGGCCACAATTATATACAAAAATATAATAGAAAAGCATTGTAGACTATTTTTAGAAAGTTGGGCTTCTGCCGAAGATAAACAGAGTATAAACAGAAAATTTGATTTTGCAGAAATTTATAAAAATTCATATATTTATTATTTGTAAATAACTATGTATATACTTTTAATTTACTTATTTATTTTGCTTTCAAAATTTTATCATTAATTTATAGAATCAATATGTATACATACAATTATTTACAATTACACTGTTGTATATAAATCTCTCTCTCTAATTATTATTAGCTGTATATTTACTGAATGCAATATTTAAATCAAAGATAAAATTCTTTCATTGGCCTTGTAGAACGAGAGTGCTGTACGCGTGCTCGCATATTTTACTAAAAAAAAAACACAAACATCCTCGATAAAGAGAGGCGTGTTGCCCCTCGAAATATTGTAACAACAAAATATTTATTAATCCAATATATATTTCTTTTTAAAATATAAATAAATATATTTATATAAGTAATAGATTCAAAGCGTACGAGGATGCGTATCTTATAAGTTTTAATAAAGGCGAGCTTTCGGGTCAATAACCCTTCTACAGGACATCATATCTAACTAAACTTGCATCTTATATACATATCCATATTGAGAAAAATTAGCATATATACAATAAAAATAAACGTATTAGCAAATTAGTGAGAAAAGTAATAGTAAGAAATATCTGCGTGTTTTGAGTATACTAAGTAGGAAAATCACAAGAAACTTCACGATTAAGCTACGATTCAATTTAAGGCTGCATGAGTAAAATAATCCAAAATAAAACGTACTGGCAATGGTCACCTAAGGTACACTATGGCAATATTGCTTTGTATATATCAGGGATGTCTATGTGTCTATTAATACTATTATGTCTTAAAGAGAGCAACGCCTCGACGACCAATCTTTTGTATTTGCTCTTGATTCCTGAGTAATATGCCTGTGGGTGAGAGGTATCAAAAGAATGTCCTGTCTGTCTAATGTGTTGCACTATGAGAGATCTAGGTTCACTGTTTCTGATGTTTCTATGGTGTTCTTCTATTCTATCCTTAATTCTTCGGCCTGTCTCTCCTATATACAAACTGTTGCATTCTGAGCATTTTAAGGAATACGCGGAGTTTGTAAGATATGGCAGGGTAATGGGAAAACTGTTTCTGGTGATGAGGTTTCTAACTATTGTTTCTAATTTAGGAGTGTTGGTGTAATAGGTGCGAATTCCGTACTTGTTTTTTAAGTGTCTAGAGATGTTGATACTATGGGTAGAGTATGGGATGATGCAAGTCGATCTATAAGTCTGACTGTTTAGCTGCTGTTGGGGATTGTGAAAGTGTCGGAGAATGAAGTTTCTGGGGTAACCTGAGTTCATTAGGTGATTTATCACATTTTGGGTCTCTGTTTGTTTAAATTCAGAAGTTGAGCAGTGAGTAAAAATACGTTTCGAGAGGGTTTTGACAGTATTAATTTTATGGCTGAGGGGGCAGTATGAGGAATAGTGTATATAGGAGGGATGAAAGGAGGGCTTATAGTGTACGTTGGTGATATACCTGCAATTTTGTTTTGTAATCATGATATCTAAGAAAGCTAAGGAACAATTGTTTTCTTTCTCTACTGTGAATTGGATGTCCGGAAATAGTGAATTTAATTTGGTATGAATACTGTCCAAGGATTCTGTTTTAACTATGCAGAAAATATCGTCTATGTATCTAAACCAAGTATGAATATCTGCTGGGAAATAACCTGTAATTAAACTATCTACTTTTCGCATAACTATTTCAGAGAGTGGTGAGGACAAAGGGCTACCCATGGGAGTACCCTTGGATTGCCTGTAATAACGTTTATCAAAATTGAAGATACTCTTGCTTAGACAGATCGATATTAAGGTGGTTAACTTAGATATCATATCTGCTGTATACCCGTGCGTCCGGAGGAATTCTGTGGTGCATTCTAAGATGAGGGAGTGGGGGAGACTGGGGTATAGATTGATGACATCAAAAGAGATCATAAGACTATTGGGGACAACCGGTAATTGCTGTATATGGGCTAAGAATTTAGGTGTGGAAGAGATGGACGTCGAGGCGGCGCCCTCTTTAAGTATGGGTATGATTATCTTAGCTAAGTACTGAGCTAACGGGGCTGTGGGGGAGAGGTGAAAAGCTACTATTGGTCTAAGGGGGATATTTATCTTATGTACCTTAGGGAGGCCGTAGATGTAGGCCTGACCATGCAGATCATAGTGTACCTTAGGTGACCATTGCCAGTACGTTTTATTTTGGATTATTTTACTCATGCAGCCTTAAATTGAATCGTAGCTTAATCGTGAAGTTTCTTGTGATTTTCCTACTTAGTATACTCAAAACACGCAGATATTTCTTACTATTACTTTTCTCACTAATTTGCTAATACGTTTATTTTTCTTGTATATATGCTAATTTTTCTCAATATGGATATGTATATAAGATGCAAGTTTAGTTAGATATGATGTCCTGTAGAAGGGTTATTGACCCGAAAGCTCGCCTTTATTAAAACTTATAAGATACGCATCCTCGTACGCTTTGAATCTATTACTTACATTCTTTAGAGGATTTCAACCTTCTCTATATATATTTATATATATATAGGTACAGAGTCATTAAGAGTACAAATGACTTCCTGTCGGTGGCTCTTCATTTCCTGTCAACCATTTGCCGCAGTTCCACTTCTGAAGGCGGCTGTGGCAGGGTTTGTAAGCGGCGTCCACTCACGTCGCAGGCTTGAAAGGACTGGTGAGAGTTCCGAAGAGTATGGAGGCCATAGAGACTTCAGTGAAATTTGAATATCACGTTGGCTGGATTGAACAGTAGGTGATTGAGCGCTGATGCATAACATTCGACACCCTTGACTGACTGTTTAGGAGTTTGTCCGGGCACAGCTCTTCATCATCCACGTTCCGTTGATAAGACATAGTACTATGAATGCAAACTAGAGATTTGTATTCATAGCACTATGGCTTACCAACGAGACGTATGCGTTGGACCCCGATGTCACGCGGTGGAGCGTTTCACAGATGCGGCCGGACCACATCGTTAAAGCCCGGTACCATTGCTGACAATTATTTGTTGTATATCTTGTATCCCCTTTCATCTAATGCTATCTGAATCTTTGTCTCAATTATACCATCGGGCTATTGGTTTGTTTGTTGCTGTAGAAGGTTCTACACATCGACGTGTTGCGGCGGTACGGGGATGGAACGCCAGCTGAAGGTTGTACAATGGTTAATCATAGTTTTACCACCTGAATCACCAAATAAAGTTGTGTTTCTTTGCCTCAGCATGACTTAATCAATCACCTTACACTTCATGACACTCTGAAATCTAAGGTTTTCTGAATAGTTTCCACATATCATAGCTAGTTACCTATATAATAATACAAATAAGTAAATAAAAATAGAACGATTTAACATCCGCGAATTTAAACTTTTCACATAAAACAAACTACCTACTTTTCTTACTTTGATGGAAAAATTAGGAGGACCTGGATATAAGTGGTGAAGTCTCCCAGTGATTTTGTCAGCTCAATCCACCACATTGAACCAATAATGGAACATTCTGCTCATATATCTGGAACTCTGGAGAAATTCTTGGATATAATATATATTGGATTATAATTGTTTCCACTATTTCTATAGCGTATGTCTATAATTTTCTCAGGCATTTATTCCTGTGTAGAACCAAATATATAATTTGAGTGGTTCAATACAATATTAGATCTTTATGAGGATCAAGCCGGTGGGAGGGTACATCTCTGTTGAGCCAGGCATTCACGATATATTTTCCTTGCAATAAAGTCAGTAGGAAAATTTATTTTATACAACAAGGATAATTCGTGCTAGATATTCCCACCTCTTATATTGCAAGATTGGAAAGCTCTTTTTCGATCCTAGAATCTCCGTGTGCCTCGATCTGACAAGCACCCACGCAGGATGGAGGGGATGATCGTCTCAGGTATTTATCAATATAAGAAAATTATTTTTATAAAAACATTGATTTTCAACCTGTAAAGTGTCTTTCTCAATTAAAGATATTGAATTGTTTAATCATTTACTTAAAATTATTTCTAATAACAATTTAAATTCATTTTTTTTAATCAAATCAAAATTTTCAAAATATTGTGTATTATTACATAAATCTTCATTATTTTACAACATTGTTACTTTCTGAATCTCATTGTACGTTGATATAAGAGTAAGGGTGGAATAAAATAATAATATTTTTGTGCAATTTTGTTTTAGTAATCATATAGAGTTAAGTGTGTGTGTTTGTACAGTGGTATCCCGCCCAGGAAAGACACAGACACATGAAAGACGCATGGGTGAAGAGACAATTAAGGTTTTTTGATTGGGTAACCATAAAATTCCACTTCCTCCAAAAATGTTTGATGGCAAAGAAGGAGCTAAGATAATTTTATAATATAAGTATTTACACAAGTAAAAATGTTAGAGATAAAAGGAGAGATTGGTGACTATTTAAAATGCATTACAGCATGGATTACATTGAATTCAAGAAGTCTGGAAAATTGTAGAATTATTGAATATTAACTTATCACCGTCCTTATTATCAATACCATTATTATGAATTTTATCAAAAAATGTATTAAGAATGATGAGAATTATGTTTAAAAATAGAAAATGTTCATTTCAGTTCCTTTCATATTTATTTTAAAATAGAGAGTAATCTGTCGAATATGAGAACTTTTCGTCAGAAGATAAACGTTGATATAAAATACCTACCATCAAATTCCGAGAGCTGTTCTATTTATATTCACCTAAATATACAAAATATACTGATATATTAGCTTCATTCATTTTTCAAATATATGTTTGCATTTGATATTAAATCAAAATAAATTATTCAGCAAATTACAGAGGATAATTCAAGATGTAAATAACAATTTTTGAAATGCCCTAAAGCTATTTTATTTATTAAAATTTAATCTAAATATAAACTGCAGGCCACCGTTAATTCAACACTCTGAAAGAAGTATGCAAATAACATGGAATTTACAACATGCATTAGCGGAGGTGAGATATGCAAATGATTATAATTTCAGCGCAGTCGCACATCACGCGCGCCTGTGGCTCCACTTCAACGCAATATTTAAGGCTTGGAGATTTCGACGATTTCAAGTTCGGAAATTGTGTTTTTCTTATGTTTTATTTTTTTAACGAACAATTATGCCTAGTATAAAACAACGATCATCTTTTGATCAAGTATCCGAGTTCGACAGAGGAAGGATACTGGCCTACCGAGATTGTGGATTATCTTTCAGTGAAATCGGTAGTCGTGTTGGACGAAACCAAACAACTGTAATGCGGATATGTGATCAATGGATGCAGGAAGGTACGACGGACCGACGTGTTCGATCGCATCCATCTCAGTGCACCACTTCACGTATTCACAGGAAAATTGTGCGCATGGCAGTGACATCGGCTCAGTCACATCACGAATCGTAGCACAGCACATTCAGTTTGTAACGCATCATCCAGTGTCTGCGCTTACCATTCGACGCCGTTTACAGCAGAGTGGTCTGTCCGCAAGACGTCCATTGCTTCGTCTACCCTTGACGCAGAACCACAGACGTCTCCGCCGCCAATGGTGCGATGAAAGAAGGATGTGGACTGCAGAATGGAATGAAATTGTCTTTACTGACGAATCCCGCTTCTTTCTGCAACACCACGATGGTCGGATTCGAGTCTGGAGACACCGTGGAGAGATGATGCTGAACTGCTGCGTTATGCATCGCCACACTGGTCCTGCACCGGGTATTATGGTATGGGGCGGTATTGGATATCACTCTCGCACTCCTCTAGTACGCATTGCCGGTACTTTAAACAGCCAACGCTACATCTCCGAGGTGTTAGAGCCAGTTGTCCTTCCTTACTTTCAGGGCTTGCCTACAGCCATATTTTAACAGGATAATGCGCGACCACACGTGGCACGCATTGTCCAAAGGTTCGTCGTCAATCGCCATATTGAATTGCTTCCCTGTCCGGCTAGCTCTCCGGATCTTTCGCCGATAGAAAACAAGTGTCCCACGGTTGCTCAACGATTGACCCAAATTAAATTCCCAGCTGCCACACCAGATCAACTTTGGCAACGTGTAGAAGCTGCTTGGTCTGCTGTACCCCAAGAACACATCCAAAGTATCTTTGAATCAATGTCGAGGCGTGTGGCAGCGGTGATCTCCAACAATGGCGGCTACTCTGGCTACTGGTTCTGGCAGGAACCACACTTCGCAAAAGTCTATAAATCTAATCATTTAATACTTGGTCAACATGTTATCTACAAAATAAATTTTGTTGTGATATCTCTTGTCTTTCTTGGTGTTGCAATTTGGGTGGCCAGCATTGTAGTTTTCAAAATTGAAACAGTATAGTTTTCGTGAAATCAAGGTATTGATATCTTCCCAATCCTCCAAGCAACTTTTCCAGAGAACTTCCAATGTATTCGTTTTTTCTTTTTATTAGACTTTTATTAGTAGTTTTTTTTTTCAAATGTAGAGAAATCCATAAGATCAAATTCAAAGGTTTTTTTAGGTATGAATGACTATGGAATAGCAGATATTCCCGATTACATTAGTTTGTGGACCATGTAATTCAAGGATGACCTTGAGATATTGCTCGGAGCCTGATCTATATGGACCCATATTTCTCTGTTCTCAGTCCGGAACAAATGAGGCAGATCTTTAAAAGAAAATGACTCGATTATTTCTCTCTAATATTTGAATTAATTTGAACATTATTAGCAAATTTTCAAATCATGAGATTCTATCTTTTATAGATATTTATATGAAAGCATTTCTGAGCTTTAGGCAAAATTCTAAAAACCCAACCACATAAAATATGATGTGAGCTATAGCTTACATGATATCGCCAATAGAAAAAGAGTTAATTAAATAAAATGCTTTGGGTGTTTACATTTATTTTAATGAAAATCAACATGGGACTCCATTGCATGTGCTTATCGAATTTTGCTATTCAGAGGCGATATCTTCATTTGGAGGTTTTGGGGTTGGTTTAGGGAATAGTATATTATAAATTTCCGAACAGTCTATTCTTCTGTTAATGCTATTGTGCTTTCTGGATATGATGAATTCTATGATAAGTCTCTGTCGTCTATTGGGGATGTTGAAGTAATGGGTCTTTGGTTCTGATAAGGAGAATGAATGGCCTGTTTCTCTTATATGATGGTACACTCTCTAAGACTGACACTAACACTCACTTTATTTTTACAATCTTACAATTTATACATTTGCATGACACGTGGTCAATAGTCAAACAGAATAAAAGAGATTAATAATAAACAAATAAATATTCACAGAATATACATTTAACTCTTAACATTCTCCCCCGGTTGATAGACTCCATCAAATTCAGAAGGTGCCACCGGCAGCATCACCAGCTTGACTAGGGGTCTACGAAGTACTCCCAGTTTCGTATTCACTGTAGCAACCCGCACCAGGCCATCCTTCCCAGGATCATATTGTTCTGCAACAAAAGAAAGCATCTGGCGCCTAGTGAAATCCTCGGTTTTACTAGGATCTGATTCCGCTATTGCTGGATCCAACGGTAGAGGGACGACATATCTTTCAGTTCTGGTTCGTTTTACTTCGGAATGATACAGTCGCTCACAAAACTCCTCTTCTGCCGAACTCCTCCGCTGGATGGGGATTTCTTCCACTTCCCAAAACCGTTTAAGGATGTCCTCCAAGCTATCCTCATACTTCACGCTTGTGTGGTACACCAGGTGCGGACTGCTCTGATCTACAAGAGGCAATTTTCAGGAGATCACCCATCCTACTCTTGTATTCTGAGCGCACAATTGGCCCTGTCTTTGCCTTTTGATGTAAGGAAGCAATAATTGTCCATAGACATCAGCGCCCAGAATCATATCAATTTTCCGGCTACGCTCAAACTGTGGATCTGCCAGGGTCAGGGAATGCCAGCTGGCTGGTATGGATA